TTTCTGTAGGTAAACAAACACACTTCAGCTGTTTCTGTAGGTAAACACATTTTGTTTACCTATTCCTTCTGGACTTTGTGTTTTCATGTTCTGCCTTAACAAACTGGTCTTTTTTCCCAGGATGCATCGTTGTCGTACGACCCCGAGTGTCCACCAGGTGAGATCCAGAGCGACGTCGTGTTCCGTGAAGGACGGACTCTGGGCGGTCACGTCACCTACACGCCTCGACTCATCGCCATGGATCTTAAAGGTACCAGTGGCCCGGTCTCCTCTGAGCGGACCTGTTCTGTCCTAAACGTTGTCCTTTCTGTCTGCACAGGAAGTCTTCGGACTCTGCGGCAGGAAGGAGGTCTGTACGACGCGGGCAGAGACACCTCCGCTGTCACCTGGTAAGCAGCGTCTCTGCGTTCTTCTGGACGGTTTGGGTGTGTGTGATGAAAATGTGTTTCCAGGGAGGGGAGCCTCATGATGCACCAAGAAAGTCCTCCAGAGAAGAACTCCTTCCTGGAAGATCTGGACAAGCTGGACGTAAGTTTTCAATGTGGAATAAAAACGGATAAAACCGGTTTGATGCTGAAGATGAGCAGCTTCATCTCGTCTTTGTCTCCAGAAGGGGCAGATTCTTGCAGAGGCAGATTTTTCCTCCGGCGCTCAGCCCTCAGGTAAGAGAACGGATCAAACTGTTGTTAAACTGGTCAGCAGCAGCTCTGACACCCCCCCCCCCCCCCAGCAGGCGCTGTGGGCGTCGACACGATAAACAGCCGCCTGATTCAGGTCCAGAAGAGCTACAGGCTGGAGGGCAGCGTGAAGGTGTGGTCCGACTTCCTGCGGATCCACCTGCACCCGCGCACCGTCTCCGTCATCCACCAGTACAACCACGACGGGTAAACGTCTGTTCTCCAACGTCCTGCGTGATCGTCAGGGAACTAACGAGCAGTGTGTTTGTGCAGCGAGGCTCATCGTCTGGAGGCGTTTGGGCAGGGAGAGGCTCTCCTGCAGGGGGCGCTGCTCGAGGAGCTGGAGGACAAACTGCACTTCTTCGTGGAGGAGTGCGATTATCTTCAGGTACCTGCTCCTCTCCTCCTCCTCCTCTCGGAGCCTCTTTCTGAGTTTGTTTCCGTTGCAGGGCTTCCAGGTTCTGTGCGATCTGGATGATGGCTTTGCAGGCCTAGGGTCAAAGGTCACGGAGCTGCTGCAGGACTCTTACAGAGGGCGGGGCATCCTGACCTGGGGCGTGGCACCTGTCAGTCACCCTCGTTCAGTGAGTGATCTTCAGGCTGGTTCTTCTGCAGTTTGTGTAGAACCAGAGGTTCTGATGAGTTTTTCTCTGACCCAGACTCCTCTGGCAGACCGGTACCACCTGCTGAACTGCACTCTGGGTATGGTCCACATGGCCGCTCACAGCTCACTGCTCTGCCCTTTGACCCTGAGGGGCGGACTTGGTAGGCGGCCCCCGTCCCCTCCAGAGTTCCCCCACCTGTCTTATGACGTGAGTTCTAACAGAACCGACCCACAATTAGCATAGATGCCACATCAACACTAAAGATGCCATGAACAAGCTAACGTGGTTAGCATCAAGCTAATCTGCCATAATCTGGTCAAAACGAAAATGCAGACACAAGTCACTTCCTGTTTGTCTGTTTGTCTGAATCTCCAGCCCTCGCTCTGGTACCACTCCAGTTCTGTCCTGGCTCTGGCGCTGGACGGCCTCACGGTGCCGTACAGGCTGCGGAACAACAGCGCCCCCATGTGGCAGGTGGCGGACTCGCTGGCCGTGTCTGGGAGGAAGGTACGTCTCGATCGCCACGTCCTTCAGAAACCGCCGAGCTTCTGGTTAAGGATTTGATCTCCCAGGTGGTTGCCGCGTACGGCGCCGTGCCGTTTCCCATGATGTACGGCGACTCTCTGCCCGACGCCCTGAGCGCCTGCGCTGATGCGTTGCCATGGAAACCTCTGTCGGCGTGCCCTGAAGCCGGAGATGGGCGATGCTACGGGCAGTGGGCCACGCTGAAGGGCCTCGAAGGCCAGAAACTCATCAGGTCAGTTCAGTCCATCAGAACTGGAGATACAGACTCAAAGATTTATGATCGATCTGTTTCTGGACCATCGCTGCCGGTTCGGTTTTCTTCTTCTGGGTCCACTTCCTGTAAAGAACTTTGCAGCTGAAGGAAACGTTTCCTTCAGAGAAATGTTTTAAAAGCTGCTTCAGTGTCTCGTATCTTCGTCAGAGCTCGTTTTATTCAAAGCGTTTCTGAAACGGTGGTTGTGTCTCCATCAGCTGTTTGTCCCCGGGGGTCAAACCGCCGACCCCCCTGCACAGCCTCCACAGTGGTGAGGACGTCCTGTCCGCCTACATCTCCTCGTTCTTCCCCTCGGCTCCTCTGTGAGTGTCTGACACCTGCTGCTGATGGTAAACACAAGCGTCGTCTTCATCGTGTGCTTGTCGCTCCGCAGGGCGCTGCAGCTGGTGGCCACGCCCAGTAAGCTGACCCCGCCCTTCCCTCAGATCTTCAGCCCGTCACTTGGAGCTCAGGGCTTCCTGCAGAGTGGGGTGGCACCCCCAGCTGGCGGTGAGTGTTTATCCTTCCCGTTTGTTGAACACGTCATGTTTTTATGACCAACTCTTCCCTGCAGCTCCGGCGCCGCTCGTCTCCTCCGTCCCCGTCCTGACGTCCCTCCAGTCGGGGCCCACCCTCGACCCCTGGCTCTCAGAGCTGCACCGAGCCGCCGACGCCTTCGACATCCGCCGAGCCGCCCCCAGCTTCCTGTCCCAGGGGCCTGAGCTGTCAGAGTACCAGGAGACCCTGGAGGAGCTGCGCCTGCTGGCCTGGCGTTACCGTGACGACAGCAGCGGCGTGACGCGCTCCTCCTCCTCTGAGGAAGACGATGACTGAGAAGCTGGAGGACAACGCTCAGCTGCTTCGGTTCTGTTGAGATGAACTTCAGGTTCACATCGCTCAGTCTTCACTCTGGACGGGTCGGGTTCTGAGCTGCGCTGAAGAATCCAGAACCTTTTAGTTTCCTCCACAAGATCTGAGGCCGTCAAACCCACAGTATGGACTCTAGAGCTGGGGGGACAATCATTTGCACCGCAGTGCATCAGGAGCTGGTTCTGACCCAAACTGAGGCAGCAGAGCCTCGTGGTCGGGTCCATCTCTGGGTAAAACGGCCTCGTCAACGGTTCCTGAGGGTCTTCTCTGTAACATCACGACTGTAAATGTAGATCTTTGATCCTGGACAATATTCAGGTCCCTGACCGGGTGTTTCACGGCCCCCTGCCGGGCCCTGAGCCCAACTTCAGGAGGCACCGGTTCAGATCAGCTGTTTGAATCACTGCTCAGTCCACCAGCTGCAGCTCCACCACATTTATTTCTTTGGAAGAGAAAAACCTGATTTATGACCTCAGCATGAGACCGAGTTTTATTTAGAACGTTCTGCTTTTCATGTCTGTGCCTGTCTACGCTGCCTTCAGGGCCCCCAGGAAAAAACAAAACATTTGTGACCTTAAAGAAACTTGAATGAATAAAGAGTCCAGGAACGGTTCTGTGGAATCTGCTCATCTTATTTTAGCCAAACGTTCAGTTCAGGTGATTTAAACTGGAATGTTTTGAGTTTAAACTGCAGTGACCTTTGACCCTCTGGAGGTCGGTGTGTGGACCTTTTTAACCGATAAACTTAAAGACCCAAATTCAAATTGGGACCGTTTTACTGCCGTTTTTTCTGTAAACCAACAGCTTCGTCCCTACTTCCTGTTTAGAATAACTTCCTGTTTGTTCATGACAAACCTGAACCTGTTTGTTTCCACTGAGGAAGAATTGAACGTTTAAACAAAGAGTCACCGTTTTATTTGAGTTTTGACACGTTTGAATGAGCTCGACGAGCTCGACGGCGCTGACGTTCAGGAAACGTCTCCGTCTGGAGCCCCGAGTGTTCGGTGAACCGATCTGAAGGTCTGATGATCTTTACTCAACGTTGCTGTCAGAACCTGAGAGAAGGAGGCGGAGCCAGCACGGAGACCAGAACAGTTTAATCTGAAACAAAACGATTTCACAGACGACGAGTTTCTAGGTCAGATTAAAAATAAAAACCATCTACGAGCATCCGCTGCTCTACAAACACTACGAATGAAAAACGGGTCGGCTTGAATGAAAATGGTTCTACTTATCAAAAACCAGAGGCGTGGCGGTGTCGGGGGTCCAGGGAATGTAAATACAGGACTGGGGGGGGTGTCACTGGGATCGGAACGCAGTCCAGGACCTGAACTAGGAGCGGGAGCGGGAACGAGAGCGGGACTGGGAACGGGACTTTGAGCGGGATTCTGACCGGGAGGCAGACCTGGAGCGAGAGCCAGCATCAACTGCGGGAGAGGCGGACCGAGACTTGGACTTGGATTTGGACTTGGCTCTGGGCTCGTCAGGAGAGTGGGAACGGGACCGGGAGCCCGTCTCGGGCTCGCCTGCCTCGTTGTCGCTCTTCGGCTCCTCGTGGCTCTCGGACTTCCCGGAGTGATCTTTGGGCTCTGATCTGGAACGAGACCTGGAGCGAGACGCAGACCTGGACCTAGACCTGGACTCCTCCTCCTTGATGGACTTCCCCTCCTTCTTGCTCTTCTTGCTCTTGGGGCTGCGGCTCCGGCTGTGCTCCTCTTCCTTCTGAGCGTCGTTGCTGCCCTCCTCCTCCTCCTCTTTCTTCTTCTTGTCCTTCTTGGAGGGAGACCGGCTGCGGGAATGAGAACCCGCCCTGTGGACCCAGAAACACCACGTTAGACAAGTTGAGTCTACCCGAGCCTCGTCTGGTACGCGTCTGTGAAAGACGACGCTGAAGAGCAGACGTTGACCTGCTGCAGGTCCAGGC